TCTTTGACATTGGGTTCTATTGGCCTACAATCTTCAAAGATGCAGCCCAATATGTCAAAGAATGCGATGCTTGTCAAAGGGTGGTAAACATTTCATCTCGTAATGAAATGCCACAACATAGCATTCAAGTGTGTGAGGTATTCGACGTGTGGGGCATTGACTTTATGGGACCATTTCCCACATCCAAAGGAAACAAGTACATCCTAGTGGCGGTAGATTATGTTTCGAAATGGGCGGAGGCGCAGGCTTTACCTACAAATGACGGACGGGTAGTGGTACGATTCTTAAAAAACTATTCTCCGGTTTGGTGTTCCGAAGGCCCTAATTAGTGACCGGGGCACACACTTTGCCAATGATCAATTGGAAAAAGGTGCTCAAGAAATATGGGGTAACCCATAAGTTCTCCACGTCATACCACCCGCAAACGAGTGGACAAACGGAAGTGACCAATCGAGCCTTGAAGCGTATTTTAGAGAAGTCGGTGGGAAGCAACCGCAAGGAATGGTCGGATAAATTGGATGACGCGCTATGGACATTTCGTACCGCCTTCAAAACACCTATTGGTACTACACCATATAAGTTAGTTTATGGAAAGCAATGCCATTTACCGGTTGAAATCGAGCATAAGGCATATTGGGCGTTAAAGAGGTGCAACTTTGACATGGAAGAATTGAAGACCAACCGTCTAATGCAAATGAATGCCCTTGAAGAACTCCGAAATGAGGCTTATTCTAGTTCGTGGCTCTATAAAGAAAAGACCAAGAGATGGCATGACAAAAGAATCAAAAGCAAAGACATCCATGAAGGCCAAAAAGTACTACTTTTCAATTCCCGATTAAAACTTTTCTCGGGCAAACTCAAATCAAGGTGGGATGGTCCCTTTTTGGTCAAGACGGTGTTTCCTCACGGGGCTATAGAATTGATCTCAAGAGATGGCACACCATTTAAAGTCAATGGTCATAGAGTGAAGAAATATGAAGAAGGAGTCCCCCGAAATGAAGGATTGGAGGAGCTGCTGCTGTGCGGAATCGCAAACACGTAGACGGGGCGAGTCCAGCTAATGACTCCATCAAAAGAAGCGCTTCTCGGGAGGCAACCCGAGTTTCACGTTTGCATTTTCTTTCCTTTTCTTTATTTTTCATATTGTTTTTTTCATTCTTCTTCATTTATTCTACTTCTCTAAGTGCTTGAGGACAAGCTCTACTGAAAGTGTGGGGTGGAAAGGCTAAACAAAGGAATTCATATAGTAAAATTGGCAAAATTTAAAATTTTTTCAACCTGAGACATCTACTCGGCGAGTATATCGGCTATACTCGGCGAGTAAATGTTCACTTACAGCCAAAAGTCGATAACACGCGTGTCTACTCGGCGAGTAGATCCATTCTACTCGCGAGTAGCGGTTCAAACCCAGTAAATTAAAACCTGTAAAAATTATTATTATTCATCATTTCATCTCCACACTCGCCGAGCATATCCTCTCAGCCGCATCTCAAGGGTTCTTCAAGATTTCTTCAATTTTCTTCTTCTTTCTCTTCATTCAAGCAACAAGGTAACATTTTTACCCTTTAATTTTATGAAAGGTCCAATCTTTATCACATATCTCCCCATATTTGGTATGATTTCGGATTTGGGGAGTTTTTCCCAATTTTTAGGGCTTTGATTTACTCATGAATTAGAGGTTATTTGGAGTAATTTCTTCAAGATCTATGGTCAGATACACAATTACAACAAAACCCTATGAACAAATTGGACTATTACACAGATTACACAAATCCGATCTCGATCTGTCAGAATGTTGATACTACTCGGTGAGTATGTTCGTGTACTCGGCGAGTAGGTCCCAAAAAGATAAAGGAAAATTTCCTGTTTTTAATTATGGGGTGTTGTTTGTTGCTGTGTTTTTGGTATGTTTATGCAGATAGAATGGCAAGGAGAGGACAGTCATCACGTGGAGGAGGCCATGGTGATATGCCATGGTTAGCCTTTCAACAAATCACCTCCAAATCCTCCAAAACTCGAGCCCTAAACAGGTTGGAAGCGCTGCGACAGAAAGAAATCCACCTGCCCACTGCAGTGGATTGGGGATGGATGGGCAATGTCGGCTTGGAAGAGGAACTTACTCCATATTTGGTGAAAGATTGTAACTTGGGTTATGCCAACATCACTTGTGATGGTTGGTTGCAATTGTTTAAAATCCAAGAGCCAGTCTACGCGGAGTTGTGTTGGGAATTCTTTGCTACCATTTCATTCCGAGGTGGTAGTGAGTATTACAATCCAAACACGATCTCGTTTTCTTTGGGAGGAGAGCTGCGACAATGCAGCATGGTTGAGTTCTCTTGGCGGTTGGGCATCTACGATCAAGACATGTCGATGACGGAATACTTTGAAGCCTTCTTGGAAAATACCCACAAAGAACTTCCCGAGGGGGTGGTGGCGTCGACATGGTGGAGTACAATTGCTAACCGGGTCTACATACCTTCCACTGCTCAAGAAGGTCATATCCGTTCTCCAATCCATCGACTCATTCACCGATTCGTTGCAAGCACGATCAACATGCGGAAGGATGGGGATAAAGTGCCCACCCTTGATATCTTTTACTTGTGGAGTATTATCACT